CTTCGAAAGGTAGTTATATTACTACATCTACTAGTTAGGAAAATTTGAAAACTTAAATTTGGACATGTTTTGCAAAAAGTGTAGGGAAAATGTAAAACGGCTATAACTTTTGCATACGATGTCGGAAAAAAATGTATAATATATCAAAAAATTCAGCACGAAAATCCGCATCCGATGGAGACGGCCTACGGCCTGTTTGCAATTTTTTAGAATTCTCAAATTCCAAATGGAAAAAAAAGATATGGTCAAATTTAAGTTTTTTTAAAAAAATTTGTTAAATCTGATCAAACTACTTATTCAAGAAGTATTAATGTTACTATATAATTATTCAATAATATTAGTGTTACTAAATAATTATTTCAATTTTTTGAATTTTGATCAAATCTGGTCAAACTATGGTCAAACTTATTCAAGAAATATTAGTGTTACTAAATAATTACTGTTTTTTAGAATAATAGTTTCAAACTCAAACAGTGAAATGTGTGACTTCATGCTCAAGCTAAACTCCTGAGGGTTAATAGGATTGACATCTTACTATTGTTAGGAAAACAACAAGTGCAGACTTGAAAACAAAGGAGAATAGAACCCGAAAGTTAAGCGTGCTCGGGCTGGAGTAGTGAGAGGGATGGGTGACCGGTCGGGAAGTTAGATGATTTAGAATGAGTGATCCACACTTGAGCAGTTAAGAGAGGTGATTAGAGACTAAATCACAAAATAATTCAGAAAAATTAAAAATCAAAAAAATAAAAATAAAAAATTCCAAAATTTTCAGAAAAAAAAACAGGGTGCGAGCTCACGGCACGTGGTGGCACTTTAGCGCCGGTTCGTGCCAAACCGGTACTAAACGGGGGCCTTTAGTGCCCACCAATTAGTGCCGGTTATGGAACCGGCACTAAAGGCCCTTACGAACCGGTTTTAAAGCTCCGTTTTCTACTAGTGTGTATGAATGCATTGAGGAATACTATTGTTGTAAAAAAGAAAGATTAGAAAAGTATAATTCCTATTGATTGGTCACAGAATTGTAAAAAACAAAGGAAAATAACCAGTGGCATCAGATTCATTAATTGTTTAATTTAGATTTCTTCTCTCTCTTGTTCTCTTTCTAGACCCATCTCAAGCCACTCAGCACGTCCCTGCTGACCGTAGCATGGCCTGAGCGGCATGCACTTTCTAAAACGAGATGGTTCTAGAATACATTGGAAGCAGCTGATGGGTATTGTTCATGCGAATCCCGTTGCTTTCAATCGCTAGAATGAGGATATCAATGATCAGGATCGATGCTTTGGACCCATTCAAAACTCATACACTGTATATTGGTATAGATATGTGGGGTCTTATGTGTTTTTCCTTAATTTGGGCAGTGCGGCCTGCGGAAGCGACGTACTTCAGAAGGTCATCCTTCTCTCTAAAAAAGTACATTCCAACTTTTTTTTCTTCGTGTTAAAAGAGGTTGAAACCAAGGCCTCTAGGGTGATGCACAAAATCATTTTTTTGAGTAATAAAAAATCATTTTTATTAAAAATTGATGCATGACACCTAGGTCAAAAACAATGGGCAACGCCGATTGGGCCATGGCCCGCCCTAGATTGGAGAAAAAAACACATCTACCTAGCACAGAACTGCTGGCATAGATCAATATAGAACATGCATTAGCCCAGAAAGCCCACATTGCCACATCACAGGTCACCACAGGCTCGCAGCGCACAACTAAGAATCGGAGAGCAGCCGCCAGTCGCCGCCCCAGCAACAGAGGCACACAACAACTGCTGGCCGCCACGTTGCTGGCTTCCGGCCACCGGCAGTCCGGCACACTGCGCAGTCGCACATGTCAGACTCCTAGTGCTCCCAGCCTCCCACCAGTTCCAGGGCCGATAACACACGACTCCATGAGGCGACCTAGCTTTTTTTTTTAAAGGATAACCCCCGGCCTCTGCATCAGAATGATGCATGCAGCCATCTTATTAAACAAAATGCGGAACAAATGGAGCTTAGCAAAAAAGAAAAAGAAAAGATGCCACAACCAGCGAAGATAGCAACAGGCTAGCAGACCAACTACTAATTACTAATCCCCTTTCATTAAGGTTCCCTCTCCTCCCGATGGCGCACAATTTCGCCGTGGAGATCGTGATTCCCTTCCCTCTCGTACAGCCGCTGGTAGCCGGGGTTGTTGACTTGCGATTCGGCGCCGCGTAGGGGAGGCGCAGCTAAGGTTCTCCCGCCCAGGGAACAAATCTTCTTCGGGCAAGTGATCTGATGGATACCTCGAAGTGGGAGGGCTCGACTCAGGCAATGAGTGACATGGAAGCAATGATGGCAGAGCTCAGGCTCAAGGAGGATTACCTGCTGGACGTGGTGGTCGATTAGGCCAACCTCCCAAAGGAAGCGGCTCATTGGCTGGCGATCGCTCGAGTCCACATAACAAAACCCCATAGTACCTAACAGGATTTGGATTTCGTTTTGCAAAATTTACCGGGCTTGGACGAAATGGGCGAAATTCGGTTTTTCGGAGTTTTTTTGGAAAATTTCGGACGAAAATGACAAACCAAAACTTGAAATTTGTAACGAATTTAACTGAAATTTACACCTAAATTGAAATAAACTAGAATATAAAAGTCTAGCAGAATCATTAGCAAAATATACATGCAGTAGACTTGAAAGTTAGTAACACTATAGTACAATCTGTGCATCAAGAAGCCTCGATCTCATGTACCCACGCTCCAAGGTCTTGCCGCCGTCGACCGGAACGCCCCATGCACAGGCGCTCTCACGGCCGCGACTTTCACTCTCCATGCGAAACGGAAGAACGTGGAGGAGGCTCGACGAAGGTGGAGATCTGGAGGAGGAAGCTACGCGGACGCGGCGCTCTCTGCAGCCGCCGCAACGAGCAGTGGAGATGGGAGGAAACTAAGTTTAGGGTTAGGGA